TGGCGACGGAAATTCGAGAGTCACGTCGACCACAACAACTTGGCGACAAGACTCGAAAGAACTCACTCAGAGAACCACAAATTGACGACGAACATAAAAGAACGTACACAAGAGATAGAAGAAAAATTTCGTCACTCCCTAAAAAATAGAAGATTTTCAAAAAGCAATGCTTGAGTTTATAAGAAGAAGTGAGGAAAGACAGCTAATAAATGAAGAAAGACAAATGCAACTCCAGGAATTAATATTAAAAGTAACGGTTAACGCACAACAGAAGAATTTCGAAAAAGAGGCGACTTTTTCTCAAGACGCAGTTTGGAACACAACAGAAACACTTAAATACTCTCTAGAAGAAGATACAAATTTCGGGGACTATTACAGACGTCATGAAGACATTTTCAACATTGATTGCCAAAACTGTACGGAAGGTAAGAGGCTACGTTTATTACTCAGGAAACTGGGAACAGATGAATACACAAAATGTGTGGACTATATTCTACCGAAAAAGATAAACGATTTGACGTTTGACGAGGCAGTTACATGCCTTACGGAGCTCTTCAGTCCAAAGACTTCATTTTTTCACAAAAGGTGGAAATATCTCAACCTCGTAAAAAGCGAAAATGAGGACTACTCCAAGTTCGCCGCAATTGTGAACAAACATTGCGATGACTTTAAATTGACAAAATTGACTCCGGGCAATTTTCGTACAGGGATTAGTCTCAGCCAAGGACAGGGAATTGCAAAAAATAATGTCCATGAAGCTTCAAAACGAGCCTGGATTAATGATACAAAAATTGTCAAAAAACTGCCAAAAAGGCTTGAGTATAAAAAAAGACTCTAAGGATATCCAGGAATCGGGAGTAGCACACATACGTAAGTTGAACAAAAAGTTACGTCCCCACCCCGAAAGAAATACAAAAATTTTATCATAAAGATAATGACAGAGATCAAAGCAAATATAAGCCCCCCCATCTTCATGTTACAGATGTGGTGGATTCAACTGGAATAAAGACTGTCGATTTAAATGCAAGAACTGTTTAGATTGTGGAAAAATGGGACACAAGGCATCTCAATGCAGAAACAAAAACACACTACTAGGGTAAGAGCTACTAGAATGGACTACGACGACAACTAAACACAAGAAAATACGTCCAACTCAAGATCTTAAATAAGAAGGTAAAATTACAGTTAGACTCAAGATCGGATCTAACTATAATTAATTTACAGACATGGAGGAAGCTAAATAGACCGACCATGATACATATACAGAAAATTGCGAAGTCTTTTACAGGGAGGTGTTACAATTTTGAAGGATAAGTAATTCTAAACGTAAATTCCATGGTAAAACGAAAAAAATTGAAGATATTTGTAATGAAAGTCACAGAAAATTTGGATGCAAAAATTTGACGTATGGGATTTACCAATTAGCTCATTCTGTAAGAAAATAGAGTGTGAACCGTCAGAGGCTACAAAATTAAAAGAAGAACTACACAGGCAATTTTCCGAAGTATTCTCGAACGGTTTGGGACGATGTAATAAGTTTTCAACTAAAATTGAACTAAAGGAAAATATTCAGCCAGTATTCAAGAAAAAGCGAAACGTGCCTTTCGCAACCATAGAAAAAATTGACAAGGAGTTAGATAGATTGGTACAAACTGGAATCCTTTCAAAAATCGAATTCAGTGAATGGGCGGCACCAGTGGTCTACGTAAAGAAAAAATCCAGAGAAACACGTTTTTGCGCAGATTTCTCGACTGCATTAAATAAGGCTATCAAGGATTATCACTACCCATTGCCAAACCCGGAGGAAATATTTACCAAGCTTAACGGTGGTAAGGTATTTTCTAATATTGAATTAAGCGAAGCTTATCTTCAGATTCCAGTAGAAGAAGAAAGTACAAAGATTTTATGCATCAATACTCACAAAGGATTTTACAAATTTAACAGATTGCCATTTGGGATAAAAGTAGCACCGTCAGTCTTTCAACAGACTATGAATACCATGCTCATGGGACAGAACTTTGCTACTGAACTTTAGACGACATTTTAATCAAAAGCAATACTGTAGAAGAACACGCAACGCATATTAAAGAAGTCTTTAAAAGAATTTCAGGATTTTGGTTTTAAAGTGAAGGAGAAAAAATGCGATTTTTTCTAAAATAAATCCAGTATCAAGGTCATATAATCAATGAAAGTGGCAGAAAACCAGATCCAGATAGGGCATCTGCAATAAAATATATGCCTGAGCCGAAAAATGTCGCAGATTGGCAAAGCTTTCTTGGTCTAGCGAACTATTACGGTGAATTCATTGAAAAAATACACAAATTGTGGGCTCCCCTCAATGAATTCTTGAAAAAGGATAACAAATGGAACTGGACGGAAGATTGTCAGAGAGCTTTTAAGGAGATCATAAAGAAATTAACGTCTGATCTAGCACTGACGCATTTTGATCCTAAACTGGAAATTATCATTGCTAGTGACGCAAGTTCACACGGAGTGGGAGTTTGTATATTACACAAGATGCGGGATGGCACAAGGAAACCTATAGCTCACGCATCTAGATCGTTGTTACCAGCAGAGAGGAATGAATTATTCGCAAATTGAGAAAGAAGCGTTGGGCATAATATTCGCCATAACTCGCTTCCACAGATATATATATGGAAGAGAGTTTACTCTTCAAACTGACCATAAACCTCTTCTCACTATATTCTGATTGAAAAAAAGGAATACCAATTTACACAGCCAAGAGATTTCTGAGATGGGGAACTATATTATTGAATTATAATTTCAAACTAGAGTTCCTACCGTCGAAGAAAATTGGTCATGCGGATGGATTATCTAGATTGGTACCTGCGAAATACGAACCTTTGGAAGACACGGTAATAGCGGATTTGCGAGCCGAAGACGAAATTAGTAAAGCTCTAAACAATACAGTAAGGGAATTACCAGTGACCTTGTTAGAAATCAGAAGAGAAGCTGAAATGGATGAATTCATACAAAGTACAAAGAAAAAAAAGAAGAAAAAGAAGGAAATCTAGCGGAGTTTTTCAATTTGTAATCAAGTATTACTTTATAATGAAAGAGTGGTCATACCAAAATCTTTACAAAGACGAATTCTGAAGGACTTTCATCTAGGAAACCCAGGGAAAAATCGTATGAAAGCGTTAATGAGAAGTTTCGTGTATTGGCCCAATATGGATAACGACATTACTCAAATGGTAGAAAAATGTAGAGGTTGTGCTGCGGCAGCAAAGGCACCACGTATTATACAAAAACCATGGCTTAGAACCCATGCAGAGTAGGCAGGACCCATAGTTGGATATTACTACTTGATAACGGCAGATAGCTTTAGCAAGTGGCCAGAAGTTTTCAGATACAAAATCCTACGACGGAAAACACTATTAATTGTCTACACGAGTTATTCGCAAGATTCGGCGTTGTAGATTGCCTTGTAACGAATAATGGTACCCAATTCACCTCGAGCGACTTTCAAGAATTCTGTGCGACTTATCAAGTCAAATATATTAAAATAGCACCATATCATCCACGATCTAACGGGCAAGCCGAAAGGTTTGTAGACACGCTTAAAAGAGCCTTGAAAAAAGCAGAGGACGTACCAACAGAAAGAGCCATACAACAGTTCCTACAAGTCTACAGAATCACCCCGAATGAGAAACACACCATCTGGCTTTGCGCCAGCTGAAGTGATGTTTACCCGCAAAATACGGTCTGTTTTTGATAAACTAAGCAAAATAAAAACCGGCATACAACGATAATACCTAAAAGATCCTTCAAACGAGGCGAACGGGTCTATTTCAGAATGTTCTAGAATAATATGGCATACTGGGAAGGCAGGTATGATAATAAACAGACTGGGGAATGTTCTATACAGCATGCAAGGTGAAATATTCACTCACAGGAGACACATAAATCAGATACAGAAAAGACGGGTAGAGGAACCAAACTCGTCATCTTCCGAAAATGAAGACGCGATGGAGGCGATTTTCGAAGCCTTCGAAATTCAAAACCACAAGTAGCCAGTAGAGGTCAGAAGAACGTGCCGAAAAAGAAAATTCACAGAACCACTAATAATAGACCATAAGCGAAAAAAATATTAAGTCCCCCCAAAAAAAAGAAGCTAAGGAGGGGGGTGTTGTGGGACCTTCCCCTTTTTACAAAAGATGGACTCGTCCAAAGTATACTGATACTGACAGAGAGAATACCTGCAGTTGAGATACGCCGAGATACAGAGAGGAACCCGGACGAAGCTTTGACGAAGGACAAGGTTTCGTCCGGGAAGGTAGATAGGCACTGTACCCATCTAGGCGGGTTCAAAGGGGATATTTTTGGCCTAGGCTACGGTTTCGGAGAAACCCACTTTAAACTCGGGCTTGTGCCACATATATTCCTCGTGGGTGGAATATTAAATACCGAGATACGATGAGATACAGTATCTGACTGTGTGCGACGTTTGTCGCACTCTGCTTTGGCGTAGAGGAACCCGGACAAAGCTTTGCCTAAGGGCAAAATTTCGTCCGAGGAGGTAGACAGGCCTTGAACCCATCTAGGCGGGTTCAAAGGGTATATTTTTGGTCTAGGCTACGGGCTCGGTGAAACCCACGTTAAACTCGACCTTGTGCCACATACATTCCTCGTGGCGGGACTGTTAAATATTGAGAAGTTGAGATACGTGAAGATACGTTGAGATACGTGGAGATACGCTGAGATACGTTGAGACAGGTTGAGAGATACGGAGACAGACACAGAGTGTTTTCATAGAGTTATACAATAGTCCAAATAGAGAGAGAGAGAGAGGGAGAGAGAGGGAGAGAGAGGGAGAGAGATGATTACGGCTTTACTTACAGAGATTTGTACATATACTGCCTACTAACCCGCATTCCCGGACTACTAATCTTCACTTCAAATCTGTATTCTTACGTTTAATACATATATTTTTCTTTCCCAATTACTGGCGTTGTTTATTTATTTGTGCAGGATTCCGTTCACGGAATCCACAACAAAAACAAAGAGAAAGAAAGTAAGAGAAAGAAAGAAAAAGAGCTAGATAAATTGTGAGAGATAAAGAGAGAGATAAAGAGAGAGAGAAAGACAAAGAAAGAGAGAGAGGACAAAAGAGACAGAGGGAAGACAAAAAAGAGAGAGAAAGACAAAATGAAAGAGAGAGTGAAAGTGAGAGAAAGAGAAAAATGAGATAGAGAGAAAACGAAACAGCTAGAAAGTAAAATAGAGAGAAAGTGAAACAGATTCAAAGAGAGTTAAAGAGAAAGTGAATTAAAAAGAAAGACATTCAAAGTGAAAAAGAAAAGTTTTAAAAAAATCAAATAAATCGACTGAGTTAAATTAGTAAAATATAAATGGTAAATATAAGTTAAATAAAAAGATATCCATTTATTAATTCAAGGTAATGCAATTTTTTTTTCATTTTACTTAAAGTTTCTATTTGTTGTTCGAAAAGAAGTATCTTTCAGAAAGATTTATCTTTGCTGAATACGTCGTAAATATTTTTTATCTGATATGCAGCACCAAGATAAACGTACAGATTCTCTGTAGTACCAAGACAAAAGTACAGACTGCCTGGCATACATCTACATATAGAGATTAGGTTTTTCATGATGCTTGCTTGCGTGAATTATATATATGTTCACAGAACTTGTTGAGCACTCAAAACATAACATGGTTGGTATGCTTCAAGACAGCAGCGTATATCTGAAATCTCGAATAGTGCCGAAAACTATTTACAAGTGTGATAAGTATATATATATGTATATATATATCTTTCTTGGGCATTCATATTTCCCATTCACAAGTATCGAGTACATTAACATGGAAGCAACAATCTTAATTTTTGTGTCCGCGCATAACCATTCGATGAAAAATATGCGTATTCCATTTTTTACTGATAAGTTTCGGTATTGTATTATAGAAATAGTAAATGTATACCCTTTATTTTGAACTAAAACTAATTTTATGAAAATAAACTTTTATTTAACAACTAAAATCTAAAAGTTTATGCATACTAGTAAAACTCATAATAAACCATTTTAAAATATGTGAGTATTTAATAATTAAAAAAGTTAAATTTATTCATTGAGATCTCTGTAGTTGATACTGCCGAAGAGGTTAATACTCTTTATACTTCCTTTATATATAATCTTTATATAATATATCTATATAATTCCTCTTTTATATATACTTCTCAGATTTTATTCATCTTTTACATTAAAACTACATTAAAAGTAATGATAACTTACATCACTTCATCTTGTTTTTAGTTAGTTTTACAGTTGCTTTTTCTATTTTTAATATTTAATATAGCGTAGATTACGGTAGAGTTTCCAATTCTCACTTATAAAAAAGATTCCCAATGGAAATTGCTTTATAGACTACTAAAATATAGACCCTGGTTAAGAAATACTGATTTAATGCATCGCTGCAAGGTGACCAATCAGCGCTACCATAAAATCAAATCAAGTTTGAAAAAGAGGCGAGAATCAACAGATAAGGAGAGCCAGTCGCTTCTGAGATTACGCTGCAGCCATCCTTATTGAATGACAATTCCATTTCTTTTTTAAGTCCAACAATTATATCTTGAAATTATACTGATTTCGCTTTTGTTTTTCTTCACTGTTTCATTATTTACTGAACCTCATCAAAATCAAAACGAAACTGCTTTATATATCATCTGAAAGACCGCTTTCTGCCTTCTATCAACATGGATGATGAAGCAGAGCAGTCGTTGCGCCTTCTCGGGTTAATATTTTCCGCTGGCATGAAGTAGAAAATTTATATTGAAACTATTCCAAAGTGCACTACGAGAAAAATTGGTTCACTGTGTCGTGCTTGACAATTCTTCTCAAAGGAAACTATCTTACAAATTTATACGTCTACCTTTCTTCTATGAATTGAATATTTCTGTCATGTATGGTCTGTTTTTCCTGTTACATATTTAGAGATTCTTAATTTCCTACCGCCGCAATGTTTTTTTCCCTGCGCCATTTCTACAAATATTTGCATGGTAATTGTTCTGGTAAACTTTCCTCTATGGTACATAGACTGACAAAAATTTCTCATCATTTTGTAGTTAAATGGCAAGATGTAACCTAAGTTCTATGCTAGCAATTTCTCCTATCGCACTTCTCGCCTGTGGACGTCTTCTTGCTTCGAGCTTCCCAGTAAACTTCGATCTTCAAAATTTAAATATAATGTCAATCGTTATCTAATGTCTTTTAATTCTTGCAATTTTATTATTATCTCCCCTTAAGAATATTTTTTATTTTATAATTCACATATTCTCTAACATACCTCACGTCTCATACACAGACAGACAAACACACACACACACATATATATATATATATATATATATATATATATATATATATATATAGGTATTTCATTGAATAATATAGAAATATTTTGTCTCTATTATCAAGACATCTTTCACTGCATTTGTTGGATAGTTGTTCTATTGCACAGCATCTAATAACATGTCCCTGTCTACATTTACAATACAGGAAAATACTTGTTAACGAAACTAATATACTACACCACGAAAGTAATAAGCAAAAAGTTCAAATTCTCGATTCTATCTATATCAAAATGAACTCAATTACGAATATAGCAACAACATATTAAAATGAGTATAGCATTTAATGCCCTTTCACATTTCTACAAATTTCCGGTCAGCTCCCTTATTTTGAAACGCTTGTTTTACAAAAAATTCTACATCGGATAAATTTAAAATTCTAAAATATCTATAACAATGGGATCATTTGTGATTTTTAAAAAAAATCACTATCAGAACGGAATGCAGATGTTATTGCAGTTACAATACATTTGTCTTTGTAATATACTCCTGAAGATAATCTTAGACAAGGTCGAAAGTATTTGGGTTGCAAAAAAGTCCCAAGAAAACTACGGAACTATCTTTGATGAATTTCATCTTTGCATCAAGCATCCAATTAGAAAACTGGAAGGAATCAGTAGAAAAACAATATGACAAAATATATCTATATTATTCAATGAAACATGCTTGAATGAAGATATGTTGTCTGCATATATATATATATATATATATATATATATATATATAATACGAATATAAATTTAGTGTTTACGCTTATAGCTATCGTATAATTTTTGACATCGTCAATATTTCGTTAATTGCTACTTGTTTCTTTCAATTGCCAGCGCTCTCATGAATTTTTGATTTCACTATTTGAGACTTCTTAGGCGATATCTATGTCGAGACGTCATTTCCTTTTATCCCCCCAAAAGCAGAGCATTTCAAGCAAAATCAACAATTATATGACATTCCTTTCGGTAATTCTTTCGAAATATCAGGATAATTTCTCGCGTTTGTGCCCCGCGCAAAAGTATCATATAAGAAAGCTTCTCATCGGCATTATGAGGATTTAATCCAGGGATTCAGTATTCTCCAGGAACAGAATACCTTTAGAACATTCGTACCGTCAAGTTTTAACACCTTCTCTTGTCATTTGGTTATCGGCCTCCGTCAATTTCACTCAAAAGTCATCAATATTATTTTCCGTTACTCGATGCAGCGGAAATAATTCCCACCTACATGACATTGTGGAGCGGGAAACTGAAGAGTAGTCTTGTTAGTAATGGAAAAGTTTCAGCTCATTCATAAGCACAGAGTGTAAGTTACATCTGTTATCGCTTTCTAATTGCCATGTCATTTGCTGTGTCACATTCCAGAGTTTCAGGAGAATATTTTTTGAACGCACAGTCAAAAAAATGACAATGTATAACGTGGGCTTGTATCTGAGCATTATCAGAAAGACGTGCAAATTCACAAAATACTTTTCTTCAAATCAGGTCTTCTTGGGATGTCTTCTAGAGTAAATGTTTTTTCAGGTCAATAATAAGCTACCTATTATTTTCACTTTTACAACCCTTGACCAATTGTCTGCAGCATTTTTACAAACCTGAATAGTGATCTCAAATGAGAAACTTCAAACAGCCTCCATTTCAAAGAATTCATTCTGACACTACATCTCCATATCTAGCGAATTTTGAGTATGTCACTGCACTAACGAATAAGACTCTAATAATTGTATTCATGAAACAAATAATCTTGTATATCCAATTTTTGTTCAGTTTGCTGTCTGGGATTTAAAATCAGTTTTTACAGTGCTTCAAGCCAATAGATAGGAGATACTTTCTCGAAGACTTTTGTTTAGCTTTGTATGGTAGGGTCTGCAGGTTTTTTTCCAATTTCAACATTCTTCCAAGAACATATGACTTCTATATAGAGTGAATGAGACTATGACAAATGATCTTCGCTATAGACGGTACGTTCTAATATCATTTGATGTTTTCTCATTTATAGTCTTAAACTCGACGAAAACAAGTCGAGTAACAGCTGAACATATTTAAACAAGATAACATCTTGACATGGAGAGCAGAATGAATTCAATCTACCTCCGTAGATTAAAGAGTTCAGATAAACATTCCATGAGGATTACCTTGGAAGACGATCACTTGATGAAGTTCGGAGTGTACAATGGTGAAAATGTTATATTAATAAAGATGAGGACAACTATAAATAATGCAATTAAACTATATATACTATAAATATAATATAAATATAATATAAATAAACGGCAAATTATGTCTGTTCGTCCGTGAGTCTGAAGGCCCCTATAACTCGGGGCACACTTACTCTACACAGACATATAGCTCTCTTGGAATCAGGAAAATCTAGCATTGGTATTTGCGTCAGGATGAGGAGAGAATAGTTGAAAATTCAAATTTTAAAATAACTGAAATAAACTGTTGAGTTTAAAATTTCTCATATTATATCGAGTTTAAAGTAAACACAAAATTGTAAATTGAGGAAATCAAACTTATTTCTTCAAGGAATCAGAGTTGAAGTCAGAGATTTCGTGACGTGAGGTTTGGAAGTTCCGGAGACTTTGTTTTTTTAAAGATTTCGGCCCAAAATTCGTATTTATTGTCCTGAATTGGACTTGTCGCCCGAATCAAAGTTAAGGTGAAATTTTCAATTTCCCCGGAATAAATTGAGGAATTCAAATTTATTTGTTTAAAATTAACATTGATATTTTCTAAGATGGAGCAGAGGTCTCTTTTGTTTTGGGTAGGAGGCCCAGTTAGCCATACACAGGAGCTAGTTTAAACGTCTTTCAGTGTACAGCTTGTATTGAATAAATATATAAAATAAATAA